TTGAGGCTGGTACGGTCGAGGGGCCTGCGGTGGCCTGAACTGCCTATGCTGGGTAACAGGGGTGTGTAGGCCTAAGGAACGGAGGATGGTACGCGAATCCTTTAGGCTATGGAGCCTCTTATCAGTCTTTTCTGAGAAGAGCGTGGGCCCTTCAAAGGGCAGGTCCTGGATCGTTTGTTGGACCTCGTGAGGGAGGCCGGAAACTTGAAGCCAGGCCCCGCGCCTCATGACCACACCAGTCGCCAACGTGCGTGAGGCTGAATCAGCCGCGTCCAAGGCCGCCTGGAGGGAAGCACGGGTAATCAATCTTCCCTCATCAACCAGGGCCGAAATCTCGGTTCATGAGTCCTGTGGGAGGAGGTCCGTGAATCTAGACAAAGCCGAGCACGTATTGTGTCCATACCGGCTCACTATAGCTTGCTGATTGGCAATGCGCAACTGCAGGCCCTCCATTGAATTTACCTTACGCCCGAACAGGTCCAACTTCTTAGCCTCTCTATTTTTAGGAGTAGCCCCCTGGAAACCCTGGCGTTCCCTCTGGTTGGCCGCATCTACCACTAGGGAGTCCGGTGGGGGGGTGTATAAAGATGTTCATACCCCTTGGTAGGAACAAAATATCGCCTCTCAGTCCTTTTGGCCGTAGGAGCCAATGAGGCTGGAGTTTGCCATAAGGTGCGGGTTGTGTCCGTAATGGTCTTAATGAGAGGTAGGGCTACCCTAATCGGACCTGACGGGGCCAGGATGTCAATCACTGGATCTGTGTCCACCTCGATTTGCTCAGTCTGTATCGAGAGGCTCTGGGCCGCCCGAGTAAGGAGCTGTTGGAGGATCCTATTGTCCTCTAGGGCCAGTGCCGCTGAAGTTCCCGCTACTGCCTCGTCCGGAGATGAAGAGGAAGATGTCCCATGCAGTGGCCCTTCATCTACCACGTCTCCCTCTGTGAGGTCCTGCGGCACACGGTACTCAGGCTGCGCGGCCGGTGCGGGCTCAAGATGCGTCACCGCGGCCAGCACCGAACGACAAGGAGTGCTGGACGGTGGCTGCGCTGTTGGGAGCAAAGTCCCCGTTGGTGCCATTGTTTGACCAGGGGGTGCCGTGTCCCCTTGTGGCACACTCCTGTCAGACGGTGGTGCTGGTGGTGGCAGCATTAGCGGCGGTGCCGCAGACGTTGAGGAAACAGAAGAAGCTCATGAGCAGGGCCCGTACGCCTGACCCACTGACTGACGGTAGGCCCACGGCGTCCAGAACGGCCACTGTGGGGGCGGTTGCCACTGCTGCTGTTGGTGCCACTGCGGTGGGTACGGTTGAGCACTCGTACACGAGGATGATCGCCTGCTCCTCAATCTGTTAGAGCAGTACGAGTCCGCCTCTGAGTCAGAAGTCTCTGAATATGAGGACATCGGAGGCGCAGTACCTACTGTCGCTGGAGGGGGTGCTCGCACCGGTTCCTTTGACGCGGTGCCGCGTGGAGAGTGTGGTGAATGCATAGCCGGTTTGCCCCTAGAGTGGTAATGGGGCCGAGCGGTAGCCGGAAGTTCTCTGCATCGGTGCGGCTACGCCGGCACCGGGAGGCTCAAGAGGTCTGATGCGGCCTCGAACGCCTCCGGCGTCGATGGGAGGCTCACCTCGTCCATCATGTCCAGGGATCTATGCCGTTCCAGACTCGACCTTGCCCTCTCCGGGGCGGGAGTCAACGGGATGGCCGGATGGGTCTGCGGCGCGAGTTGTCCTGTAACACTCGTGGACGGCGCCGGACCTTTAGAGTCCCGGTGGGGAGATTGTTCCTTCAGCGGCCTGTTCTTTTTAACCGGCACTGGTGATGGAGAGCGGTGTCTTGTAGAAGATGGTTTCTTATGCGCTGACTCTCTCCGGTGCCAGGGTTTCGGGGCCTTGGCCTCACAACTTATCTCCGGTGCCGGGGCACTGCGCACCGAGGATGAAGTGCTGGGGGCTGGCTCGGAAAGCCCGGGATCCGATTGCGGCCACAGTGCCGCCTTCATTAGGAGGACTTTAAGTCTCTGCTCTCTATCTTTGAGAGTCCTGGGGCGAAAAGTCCTGCAGATAGTGCACCTATCCCTTTGATGGGTCTCTCCGAGGCACCGTAAGCACAAAGAGTGCGGGTCACTCTTCGGCATAAATTTCCCACAGTCCCGACAGAGTTTGAACCCTGGGGACCCGGGCATGCCCCAGCGGGGCGGCGAAAAAGTTGGGGAAAACCCCCCAACTAATATCTAACTGGCTAACACTAACAACCAACTAACTAATTAACTATTTACAAGAACTACAGAACACTGCCACGATTGCTGAAGAGCAAGCGAAGTTCCAGCTAGCCGTCATCGGCGGTAAGAAGGAACTGAGAGGGTGGGGGGTCAGCTGGCCCCTATATACAGTGCCATGAAGGCGCCACTCCAGGGGGCGCCGAAGCCGACCCTACAGACGCTGCTATAGTAAAATCTTCTGGCTGGCGTGCACGCGGTGTGCACACACCTGCTTGGAATGGACATGAACAATCACTTGAAGAAGAAGGAACATGCCGCTGTGTCAGCTGCATCGAGTGCTAACTGGAGAGCCATCTTAGTCACCAGTTGCCTCATTAATGATGGGTTTGAATTGGTTCCTGTGAGAATCTGGGAGCTGCTCAATAAAGGAATTGAATTTCTAATAGTTGATATAATCGTATTTTTCCATTAAGGCTTGATAATTTGCAATATGGAATTGTAAAGTGGCTGATGAATAAGTCTTTCTCCTAAAGAGATTGAGGCACTTCCAATCCCTATCGTAGGGGGTGGATTTCATGTGATGATGTTGGCCTCCAGAGTTCACCATGTCCATAATGATCAAATTAGGGAGCACGTGGTAGAAGAGAAATTCTGTGTCTTTTGTGATACATAATATTTCTTATTGGCCCACTTACATGTTGGCGGGACCAACACAGGGGACTGCCATATAAGTTTAGCAGGATCCAAGAGAGCCTCATTGATAGGAAGGGCTATTGTGGATGAGGCAAAGGAGTGTAAAATGTCCAACAGTTTATGGTGTGACACGGTCACCTCCTGCAGTGTTAATTGTAATGCCTCTGCCACTCTTTGAGCTAGCTATTGAAAAAGTTTGAAGTTGTCTGCCAACAACAGTGGACGGGGCATTACTGTCTCATCTGGTGATGAAGATGAGAAGTTATTGAGGAAGAGGCTACACCCCGGACTATCAACCTCTTGTTCCTCCCTTACCTGTTCAGGGGCCTTGAACACCCCTGATGCAGTGGCCGAAGGAGAGCATCTCATTGGCTCCTGATAGGCCATGCAGGGCAATGTCTATATGCCTGCCAAGGGTCCCTGTTAGGCCACTGGGATGGTGGGCAGTGTCCCGGTTGTTGGTACCATGGCTGCCAACACCAGGGAGAGTATGGTTGAGGTCCGTATTGGTAATGGGTACCACAGGGTGCCTGAGAGGAGCAACGGGAGACTACATCCTCCTGCTCACTGTGTGATTCCCCACACGAGAATGGTGGTGCATGGCATGATGTCGAAGGTGAATCTGGAGGTTGAGGTGGACTTGGTACCAGAGCTCCAGCCCTGAATAGAGGCGAGTCTGGTGCATCAGACACAGAAAGGTCTCTTGAGTATTAGAAGTCTGGCGGTGCCATAGGCATCGGTACCGATAGTGGTTGGCAGCGCCGGGATGACTATATTGATGGTGTTGGAGATGCAGTCCAGGCTGAACGATCTTCCGGTGTGCCAAAGACGGTACTGATGTTGATGTCCATACCAAAGGAGCCTTCCCCAAGGCAGATTCTCTATCTTTATCTTACCCTATCAGTACCGATGTTTCCTTGCCTCTGCCAGTGGGTCCTTAGGCATACACTCTGGTACAGAGTCCCCAGATGGGAGGGGGTGGTTAGGGTTGAAGAAAAAACGAAGTTTGAAGATTTTTTAAAACAAATAAAAGAATAAAGAAATGTAAAAGAAACTCTAAGAAGTAGTTTCCCCTTTTTTACAAGTAGCAAGTCTTTAGAAGTTAATGATCTGCTAATGGACAGCTAAACTCCGTCTCTAGATGGGGAGGTTAAGAAGGAACTAAGGAGGGTTTGCCTGCGCGATGCTGGTTAGCTTCATGGCAGAACTCAGGTGGGGGACAGCACATGTGCAGGCCAAACAGACACTGCTACCAAAAGTCTCTGATCAGCAGGGCAGGATGCAAACACATCTACAGTGAAGCACCCATAGGGACACTACTCGAAGAAGAACATTTATTACCATATTATAATACTTTCAAAGATACTCCCATTGTGGGCCTAACTCTATTTAATGTCTTTTTAAAAATAATGATATATGGAGAAAACCGTAGATCTACCAACATGATATATGCCATCATGTGCCAGCAATGCCCCTCTGCCATATACATTGGCCAAACCAGACAGTCTCTATGCAAAAGAATAAATGGAAACAAATCTGACATTAGGAATCATAACATTCAAAAACCAGTGGGAGAACACTTCAACCTCTCTAACCACACAGTGACAGACTTGAAGGTGGCAATTTTGCAACAAAAAAACTTCAAAAACAGACTCCAAAGAGAGACTGCTGAACTTGAATTAATATGCAAATTAGATACAATTAACTTAGGTCTAAACAGAGACTGGGAATGGTTGGGTCATTACACTAATCTATTTCCCCATGTTAACTATCCTCACACCTTCTATGGGTCATCTCGATTATCACTTAAAAGTTTTTTTTTCTCCTGCTGATGATAGCTCATCTCAATTGATTGGCCTCTTACAGTTGGTATGGCTACTTTCACCTTTTCATGTTCTCTGTATGTATAAATATCTTCTTTCTGTGTGTTTCATTCTATGCATCCCAAGAAGTGGGCTGTAGCCCACGAAAACTTATGCTCAAATAAATTTGTTAGTCTCTAAGGTGCCACAAGTACTCCCATTTTATTATTGCAAATGAAAAACAAACATTTGCCAAACTATCCCAAACTGGTCTAGGCACTCTCACCTGTCATCTGTGCTCTGTTCATCATGCAAGAGGCGCTCTTTATTTAAACCTATCTTTTCAAGTTCATGGGTAAGTTTTTCAAGATCATTATTCATTTGCTGGGTCTTCAGTTTTTCATTCACCAAATCCTTATGCAAAATAAACAAAAAAAATCAATCTAAAATGTTAAATTAATAATGCAGACTTATTTCAGAGTAGCAGCCGTGTTAGTCTGTATCCGCAAAAAGAACTTAGTTTCTGGAAATTGTCTATGCACTAAATTTCTATGATTACATGTAGCTTGTACAACCTGTTAATATAATTTCTTCCTTCCTCACAACTATTAACATCTGGAACAACATATAATCAGAAATTATATCCTAAATACAAGTCTGATTTCACCTTAGTTGTTTACCCCCTTTTTTTTTGCATGACTTCCCTTTTAAACTTTTAAACAACAAGATAGGAACATGATTTTTTCAGAAATTACTAGTAGACATATTTTCTGTATGTTACAACTGTTAAAAAAGCTATTATGATATTATAGACACGCAGCACTTAGCTGTATTACATTTATGTCCGATAGATAATAGACGAACAGAAATTAGTTTCAAATTACCTCTCGTAATGTGACAAGTGTTTTCTTATCAATGGTAGCTCTTTTCACAAGTTCTTTATTTTCTTTTTCTAGCTCTTTTAGACGTACACAAGACTCTTTAAATATACCTATTTCTTTACATAGAGATTTGTTTTCCTTTTCCAGATTACTAATTTTTATATTGTTCTCTTCTAAAGTACTGTCTTTAATTTCTGCTTGTTGTCGGAGTCTCTTATTCTCTTTTTCCAGTTGTTTCTTATCCTTTTCCAGCTGAGAAGTCTCTTGTTCCAACAGCTTATTCTCCTTCTCTAATTGCTCTAGGCGTTTACTAGAGATTTTTAATTCTTCCAGATTCTTTTGCAGAGTTTGGTTTTCAGACTCTAAATCTTGTAGTTCACTTTCCAATTGTTGAATCTTTTTGTTACTATTTTCTAATGCTTTCTGTAGCCTTTGGTTTTCTGTATCTAAACCTTGGTAGCTGACTTCCAAACGTTCTGTTTTCTTACATGAAGCTTTCATAAGCTCCAACCCTTTTTTAAGTTGCTCCTTTTCACTTTCCAATTCCTTATTTTCTAACTGTAATTGAGCCATCTTGATGCTTGTACACTTCAAAGATTCAACTGTTCTTCTTAGTTCTAAATTTTCTTCATCAAGTTGTGAATTCTCTTTCTCCAATGATTCTAACTGAAAAGTAAGGTTTTTTAAGCTATCTAAAGTTTTTTTCAACTTTCTATTTTCCACTTCCAGGTCTGAGTTTTCTTGCTCTAAGACTTCTATCTTCTCACAAGTAATTTTTAAATTGGTAATCTTTTTCTGTAATAACTCATTCTCCTTTTCAAGATGATGCAACTCATTCTCAAGCTCTTCTGCTCTTTCTCCTTTCTCTTTATAATGTTCCAGTTCTTTCCTCGCTTGCTTTTTCTCAAATTCAATCTTATTTAGCTTACTGCTGGTCTCTTTGATAGATTCATGGAGGATTTTATTTTCTTTTTCAATGTCTTTCACTCTTGCTTCAGCACTGATTTGGGACCGTTGCCTTAGAGCAGCTACTGTTTGATTCAAATGCTCATTCTCCTGTTCCAATATTTTAATCTAATTATTTGAAAAAAAAATTATAAATGTAGGTCAGTACCATGCCAAAAATAATTTATTTCTATATATAAACAGCAGCCTACTGAGATAGGACAGATGGAGATGGATTACATTATACATCACTTCCTTTTTAATATAAGGTAAAATTAACGTTCTGCTGTGGTTTATTCTACTATATTATATACCATGTAACATAACACACATTGTGTGTGTAGAGGTGATGGTTATGCAATCAACTGTAAATATAGACAAATTTTCAAGTACATTAGTTTGTCTGTTTTAAGATTATACAAAACCAACATACATTAGTGGCTTCACTCTCTTTCTGGTAGCCATTTAACCCAATAATGGATTCTTTTCCCAAAACAACATCTTGAGAGATATAATATATTAGAAATAGGCATAATACCAAAAATCCAAACATCCAGTCAAACTATGGCAAAAGGCTTATTGAAAGATTCTAAACGCAGTTTAAGAAAAAAATACCTCATCATTTTATTTGAAAATATAGAAAGTTCATCTTTGAGGTTTGCAGAGTCCATAATTGCAGCTCCACTGATTTTTGTGACTGTTTACGCCAAGGATATTTTAACCTTTCATTAAAAAAGTTACTAGTCCTTTTTCTTGCAAAGATTATGTTACTTGCCTGTCTCTCTGAGTTTTCTCGAAGTGTCTCAATGGATTTTTCAAGTTGTGCTTTTTCTTTCATCAGATCTTTGCTCAGATTTTGACTATTCTGAAGACTTTGTTTCTCTTGGCTAATTTCATTCTCAAGTCCTTCCAACTGGAGGGGGGGGAAAACATATTTAAAATTCATCCAGAGAGGACTATGAACATAAATGACTATTCTTACTGAGGTGAAGTGAAAATATTATAATTATTACTTTTATTTTCCATATGTTGTATATGGCCTGATCTAACACGTGTTAAAGTCAATGGAAAGATTCTCATTGACTTCAATGGAGCTGGATCAAGTCCATAAATTTGTATTTAAGATCCGGCAAATATTACAAACTCTGTCCCACCTAAAATAAACTTTAATCTAAAAATAAAAAATCTAGCCCCCTTTGTTGTAAAAATAGCCTTCAATACGGAAAATCATGCATTATTCATGATGATTTTTTGAAACGTCACAATCGCTGCACACTTGACCTGTGTTTTCAATTGCCACGTGACCAAGGTCCTACCTTCCATGATTATTCCAGGCATCTGGAATCTTCACAACACTAATTCATCTGAAGCACAGAGAGTTCCTTTATCCTATTTTACAATTATTTTATTTATTAACAGATCTATTCTTTGATAACAGAAATTGGACAAACTGGAGAGAGTCAAGAGGAGAACAACAAAATGATAATAGGTTTAGAAAACCCGACTTATGAGGAAAGGTTAATAAAAATAGACATGTTTAGTCTTGAGAAAAGAAGACTGAAGGGGGACCTGATAACAGTCTTCAAATATTTTATGGCTAAAGAGGACTGTGATCAAATGTTCTCTATGCCCACCGGAGGTAGGACAAGAAGTAATGGGCTTAATTTGCAGTAAGGGAGATTCAGATTAGTTATTAGGAAAAACTTATTATTAAGCTCTGGAATACACTTCCAAGAGAGATTGTGGTTTTTAAGAACAGGTTAGACAAACACCCGTCAGGGATAATAATAATAATTAATAATAATACTTCATTCTGCCTCAGCACAGAAGTCTGGACTCGATGAGTTCTCAAGATCCCTTCCATCCCTACAGTGCTATGATTTTATGAAATCTTACAAAACTTGTTTTACAACTTAAATAGAGATAAACTCAGTATACACAAAATAAACAATTATAAATTGGCTTAATGAAGTCCCTAAAGCTGTACTGAGGTGGCCTGCTGCTACCAGTTGCTTTCTTCAGCTTTATGGAATTGATCACAAATTGTGGTTGACGTTTTTCTACTTTTCATCTTCTATCTTGTCTGTTTGTAGTGTCAGTTAAAGTATTTGTGTACATCTACACTGCATACTTCTTTTAGCAGCATGTACTGTACATACATATTTAGCCCCCTTTGATGGGGGGGGTCTACCCCACACAGGGCTTGAAAGGATTGCACCTGGAGGAGGACCAGAGAGCAGGAGTTGATTAAATGAGGCTCAGCTGGGTAAGAACAGGAAGGACTTGTATAAAGCCCAGGATCTGGAAGCAGAAGGGGGACTGAAGGGAAGTAATTTGCAATCACTCCCTGGGAGAAGAGAGGTGTGTTTCATAGATTCATAGAGTCTAGGACTGGAAAGGACCTCGAGAGGTCATCGAGTCCAGTCCCCTGCCCACGTGGCAGGACCAAATACTGTCTAGACCATCCCTGATAGACATTTATCTAACCTACTCTTAAATATCTCCAGAGATGGAGATTCCACAACCTCCATAGGCAATTTATTCCAGTGTTTAACCACCCTGACAGTTAGGAACTTTTT